AAGAGAATTAATTACACTGCTTCAGGCATCACGTAAACCAGGTCCTCTAACCTTCTGGTATGTGGAAACGTTGCTTGTTTCCAGGAGGAAGCAAGCAAGATCATGAAGATATCTTTATTGCTATAAATACATTTTCTTCAGACCTTGTCATTGAGAATTAATCCCTAACCAGGCAACAAATAAATGCCAGCAAAAACAGCACTGTGTGTTCTGAAGTTTCTGATGTTTGCAGAAAATCTAGAACACAAAATGCATGTGGACAGATGAATGACCCGGTCGTTGTTTTACCAAGTTTGTAATTTGTAATTGGTTGAGTTGTGGCAGGGGATAATATTGTGCATTTTAATTTTAGCTGACACCAATTGCAGAGTGAATGACGTTATACGAACTACTGCAGCTGTAACCTTACTGCTACTACTGTAGCTGTAACTACTGCAGACTGTTTAACCCTACACTCTGTTAAGTTACAATCAGTTCTATTTGACAACTGCAACTGGGAAGGAATGCAGGCACAACTCATTTTTGCAGCTCCCAGAGCCCTGGTGGCCCTGTCCCTGCGACTGTGTGCCCATCCCCTGGGCAGCCAGGGGCCCAGCAAGTGACTCCAGAACGAGCAGGACGACACACGCCTTTAGGCTAAATGAGAGCCCAAGAATTACTATCTTTTTACTTACCATATGTAACAGGTAACCTTTGAGAAAGAACAGTCCATGGTATTTTCTGCTGCCTTTTCGCTCCAAAGCCAGTCAACATCAAGATTTCCCCAAAGGGCTGTCTTCTTTGACATAGGCCTATCCCAACCAATGGTATCTGCCAAAAACTCTCTTCAGCTACTCCACTTTTTACTTCCCCCATTGGAAAAAGAAGCTGCATGACTTACACTGGATTCTTACACTGGTAGTAGTTCAATGAGAACTAACACTACCAGTAAACACCAATTATATCTGTTTATTATAACAGCATCCACAAAAACAGTAATTTCATTCAGAGATTAGAGAAACTTACTCCAGAACTTGGTGCTGTTTTTTCTTCAACATAAAGTTAAATTCTTTAGGTCCTAGAAAGCTACTACACAGACTAATAATTCAGAGAACTGTCAAACTACTTTTGCTATCTTATTTTAAAATGCTGACAGCAGTGGCATCATTGACTCATGGGGACTTTCTGGCTTTCTTCAAGTCATGCAAGAGTGAGAATTTTGTAACTTTTTTTTTTTTAAGCCAGAAGAATTATTTTTTTCTCATATCCAGAAAGGTCAGCGTAGCAGCAGGCTTGGCATGAGAGCTAACTACTTCACAGAAAAAGAAAAACTAAACCTCACATGTCTTTATACTTCTCCAGAATACAAGCCAAGCTAACAAAGGAAAAAAAGTCGTCCCTGTTATTTTTCAGTCCCTTTATCTTCTAGAAAGGCCAGCTTCCTTCCCTATACCCCCAAGAATTCTGGATGGACAGGAAACAGTGATTTAAAGTACACAGAATACTCAAGGCGATGACTTCTGAAGTTTCAAGAGCTCTTATAAAGGTATTGAACAAAACATCAGACATATTGAAAATGGGACCAGACTTCTGTTAACTTTCGAAGCCTTGAATGCATGGGGTTGCTTTATGTGGCAGTATTTTCCCCCAATATGGAGAAACCAGAGAACAACTATGCCTTTATCAAAAAAGCAGCAGGGGGAAATTCTGGTAGGAAAACAGTTATCGAGCCTACTTCAGAATACTTCCATGTGGAGTCAAAAACAGCTGCCACTTTTCTGATTTGAAGAATAATTAATCACCTACTTTTTCAAACTATCCTATGCATTTTTCCTACCTGATCAACTTAAGTCAATCGTATTTAAGGAAGAATTTTTTAAGCTGCATCAAATAGAATAGGGCAAAAAATTTGTGACAGACATTTAGTCTTTTCTGTCTATGAGACTGATTTGTAAAATCTATAAAACAGAATTACATATGATAGTAAGATATTTATAGAAATATGAACCATCACCCAAGGTTTAAACCTGCAATATACTTTATGTTGTGTTCCGGTTGGTGACTCTCAGAGAAACAAGACTACCAGTATTCAAACACAAACATCACAAACTTCAAGGCTCAGCAGGAAGCTTCTGGGATGTGAGAACAGCTCTGCAGACGGGTCTCAACTCAGAAGAGACTCATCTTCTGCAGACTGAAGAACTGTTCAGTCACCTCTGAAATCAGACTAGCCATACCTTTAACCCCAGCAGTTTAACTAAGAGATGGAAAAAGTTCCCAATCAGCTTCACCACAATACTAAATTATTTTTCTAAATACAAAGCTTGTTTTCTAGTTATATTGACCAGTTATGGGATGGATTGGTGATAACCTGGAAAAGGCAAGACAGCAATAACTGGTGTGGCTCAAAATAACACCATACACTGAAGAGCCTGCCATGACATGCTGTGTCTTCTGCCCACAGCTCTCTCCTAGACACGGGGTTTGAGTAAGACATTAGGAGAGCTGAGCCCTTGCAGCACCACCTTCGCTGAAGCTCTAGAGGCGGCTGCAAGAAGGAAGAAAGGATGAAGTTACACCCTCAGGTACTGAGTGTCTCCGGTCACAGCATCCACATGAACTATCCTTGAATCACTGCTGGAGAGGGGCCACCGCTGAGGAGATGCTTGTTTTGCTGACCTTTAACCAATCAAAGGAAAAGCTTCCAGACAAATCAGGATGAAAGAAAGAGACTAAGTTGAGGATAAGACAAAGCAAGAAAAAGCTGAAAAAGACCTTCCTCAACTTATGACTACCCAGTGTGTGCCACAGGTGATGGTTTAGGTGACAGAGTCAGGAGCTGCTGCAAGAGACAATGCTGTCTGCGGGTGCACTGTCTGTAGACACCACTGAGTGTGAGATCGTACAGAAACTGCCAGTGGTAAATCCTGACACGATTCCATTTAAGGCCTCAAAGCTTTCCTGTACATTTCCATCCCAACAGCTCCTTTTTCAATCACAGGGTTTTGCAGACCCAGCACAAGTTTTAACAAGCATCCATTTTCTAGGAGCACTTATAAGAAAAAAAAAAAAAAAAAAGCACCGGGGAGAGAAAAAATAAAATCCTACTTTTGACAACTAAGAAAACAGGCACCAAGTTACTCATGTCCACAATGACATATTATCCGCTTTTAGCCTCGAATGTTTACACACAACTCAATTTGTCTTGCATACAGGAACACACTACTTGCTAGGTTTTTCATTCAATTAAAATATTTGAGTATATTTTATCTAGTTTGGTACACGAAAGCTAGGAACTCATTCATTAATCTGCTGTAAAGGCACTCCAACCCATGAACACAAAACATGGTAATAAAGTATACTCTGACATACTCAATTTAAAACTCATCCAACATCTGGGTATTCACAGGACAAAGTTTTGAAATGCTATAAATCCTTCCAAAGTCACCAATTACTCAAGAATTATTACAGCTATGGCATACATTTGCAACGAGGAAGTGCCAGTTTTTCAATCAAATTTGTCACACAACCTGACAATACACAGTTCCCAAGGTGCCACAACTGCTGCTGAGGTGGCCTGGAAGAGCCGAGAGGGAAGCGAAAGCTGCAGAAAGACACTGTGCAGTAATTCTAAGGCATGGAAACCGTGAGACCTGAACCTCAGCTCCCCTTTGGACACAGAGCAGTGAGAATGTACCCCCATATCTCTGTTTGCATGGAAAAAACTGGATTGCAGAACTGCACAAGTAAGAAGTATCGCACTGTGATGCAATATAAAAAAAACCAAAACGTGACAGGTACAGACTGATAGGTCAGTGGTTTTGCAGGCTGAGGAAGCCACTATCTTCATGCATTTTTAAAAGTAGTTTATTATGAAAACAGTGACTTGAGGCACATGAATTTCAACAAAACCTATCTTATTCAGTATCAGGAAGTTAAGATAACCTGCAACAGACAAAATTGAAGGAAACCAAACAACAGAGGCAGATATAATAACAAAAATCTTATCTTAATCAGTATGGTTTACTTTTCATTACCAGTTGGAAGTTACTATCCTACAGATTAAGTGTATCACAGAAGCTGAAGTAAAACTACCTCCCTACTGAAAACGAAGTCCACCAAGACTTTTTTGTACGATGCTCCCACCTGAATTACTACAGCTATGTTGCATCAAAGACTACCTCTAGTCTGGCAACAATTTAGTCATACCATGTGGTGCAGAAATCAAACTAACAAGGCAAGCTGTGCTTGAGCTGGCTCCACGTAAAGCTCTGCACAGCACTCCCAAAACCAGGAACACCCCGCAGAGCCGATCCAGGTCCAGCACAGCTTGTGAAGCCCAACTGACCATGGCCCTGCCAAGCCCAAATGCATCCTCTGGGACCTGTCCATGCAAGCGCCTGCGTGAGCCACTACACCCATCCAAGGACTACAAAGTGCAGGTATGTGGAACTGTCTCCTCACAACGCCAGCGCAGCAGGAGCAGAGTTGCCTTGCACCAACTGCAGCTGGTCCCGGCTTTAAGGCCTGGGCACGCCGGTCCCCAACCGCCCAGAGAGTCCTTTTCCCCAGTCATCCCCCCAAGCCACTCCTCACTACCTCAGCTATGCTAAAGGAGTCAGTTAGTGTCTTTCTGCACCTTTTGGCTGTTTCCCAGCTCTTCCGAGGCCGGGCAGCAGCCGCAGAGGCACCGAGGCTGCTGGGAACACCCCGCCGCGCTGTGGGGCCAGCGCTCCCCGGGATGCTGAGCCCCGGGGTCCGACCCGGCCCCACCGCTCCTGCCCCGGCCGCCGCCTGCAGCCTCTCCTCAGACTCATCTTCGGAGGGGAGACGGGACGGGAACACAGGCTTCACTCACGCCTCGTCCCCACCGCCTCCGCCTGCGCCCCCGCGGGCTCCCTGGGCCCCGGCCCGGCCCAAAGCAGGGGGAGCGGCGCCGGCGGCTCCGTAGGAGGAAGAAGCGCGCTCAGGGTTGGTTGAGGCCGCGCCGCGCGGTTGGGCCTCCTTCAGCGGGCTCTTACCGAGAGGCGGCTCCGGAGCCGGGCCCGGGAGCACGTCCCGCAGCGGACATGGCAGCGGCGGCCCCACGCCTCCTGCCCCCCCCCCGCCGCAGCGCTCCCGGAAGCAGCGCGCTCGGCGGCGGAAGTGACGGCACTGGCCCGGAGGCGCCTCAGGCGGAGGCGGGAGCGGGGGCGGGG